TAGGTCTAATATTAATTTTATGACAGCTGAAATCACAAAAGAGCGTAAGTACAAGACGATACTTGTTGATGAAGTCGAATCAGTTCGTCCGTCGTGCGAATTATTTCAAAATAGCTGCGTGAAGAGCAATTTAATAGTACAACTGAACTCATGACCTTTGAAAAATAGAAAAGGAAATCTCAATTTTATATACTAGCATTGAGTGTTCAATTTTTAATACAGTTAGGAACTTTTTTCTTAATTTCTCAATAAATAGTATACTACTCTTCCACAAAACCTCAAAACATTTTAATATAGTCAGCTGTTACGGTATAAACGTTAGATTACATTTAACAGCCTGTGGTTTGTGGTCTTGGTACACGGCCGACTCTCTGATATATCATGTAGCTTCAATTACTTATATAGTGGTTTGAAATAAGCATTAAAAATAGTGCAAATGCTTTGGACTTAAATGGAAAATTGTAATGATTAGTGACATTGATAGGTTTTTTTTAATGGATGATAATCGAATGATAACCCCTCCTGCGCTGTTGGTATACACTGGTGGGGCACCAGTGAAGGATGATTGGTAAGGATGAGAAGGCAGGTCAATTAGCTCATTGTGACGAATTCAACGATAAATTAGTAATGATAGTTTCCAAGGGGCCACATGGAGGTCGATCTGACAGACAGGATATATTGTTAGTAATGAGACTAGTAGTTCGCATTACTAATAATCCCTTTCCCCCCTACAGTGACAGGTTACTTTGCAACAAATCTGTAAAAAATATTTTAAAACATAATTTTTTATGTAAACCACCATCTTATAGTTGCGAATTTTTAAAGATATCTTTTATTTTATAGTTATTTATTCTTTAAACTATTTATTTAATTTGATACCTATATTAACAGGTTGACAAAATATAAACCACTTGCCATCTTATGTTGCCGGCCATTTTGAAAATATTACAGTTTTTTTTTTATGGTTTGCGGGTCAGTATTTAAGGCATCCCGTCCTCGCTATTGGATACGGGTGACGGAACGCCTATACAAGAGGGTACATGGTGGGCGCAGTTTAGACGCAATATTTGAAGAGCATTAGGAAGGTACTACGGCCGGATACTGAAACAAAAAAAAGAGTATGTGGTCGGTCCCCGAACTGGCGACCTCTGCTGTCTACCGGTCTCCAATTCGAGGGATGACCGATCATTACAGTTTTGAATACTACATATTATATTCTTATCTAAACTAAAGGTATAAACGAAATTTTAGCTAAATCGATCATAAGAAACAGGTTCTAATTCAGCTTGTTATAGTTGATTAAATAAACTAATTAATATACATTACAAGTTAAACAAAAGCGTGTAAAAATAATTAAGCGAGTTATTTGTTTATAGTAGTCTCGAGACTGGCTTTGAATCGTCTTTCTTCCATTGGTTTCAATGCTATGTTGAGTTTCCAATATATCTTCATGATTTGCCATACTGTGCAGTTATGAAATATAGTATAACCGGTAGGAAGTGTAATGAACTAAAACATACACAACAACATGTTAACATGCAAATAACAAGTGTATATATTGGATTGCCTTATTAGATTTACATTATAGGTAAAATATTTTTTTTTACTGTAACTATTTAATTAAATAAATTGCATTATTCAAAAAATAGGTGCTCACCGGGGTCGACTCTGAGATGTCGTTTCTATAAAGTTCAGAATTTAAGTTTAGAGATAAATTTAGAGTCTATAAAACAATTTAATTTAAATTCAATATCATAACGAAATCTTTATACTTGGACTAATATTACCTAAGTTTTTAATATATATATATATATACGCTATCGATACGTTGGCGGGGCACCAGTGAAGGATGACAGCTGAGGATGAAAAGGCAGGTCAGTTAGCCCATCGTGACGAATTCCAGGGGGAACTGCGTGGAGGTCGACCTAATAGGATATATTGCTAGCAATGGGTTAATTAGACTCCATTACTAACTCCATTACTTTCTCTAAATACGCTTCAGAATCGAGCCAAATATGTATATTTTATTAGTTTTTATTCTTCTACCCCCAAAAAGGAAAAAATAATTTAAGTAGTCAATAGTATCATGTTCATTTGAATTTATACCTTCAATTTATAGTGAGAGAAAAGAAAATACATTTCAGGACTCGAATTAAATTCCGCTTTCCACGATACGAAATGACCCATCGTAGACAATGGTGTTTAGTAAAATATATATCTGTACGGTGTGACATAGAATACGTAAGTGCACATTTTGAAAATGAAAGCGCACTTTATGGGCCATTGTGTGCACTTTGCTTTCTGTTAAACTGTGATAGAATACTTGTTAATATAGTGTAAATTATAGTATATTACGTACCAAAGTTAATTATTCAAATAAATTTAATATTTTAAAATTAATTTACTTTACAATTAATTTCACTTGCAAAAAACTGTCAATAGTGTTACTTGAAAAAACTAACAATAAAAATTAAATTCTAGTTTTTGAAATGAGCCATAATTAATCTCATTATTTGAGAAAGTACTCATTTAACTTAATTGCACCTATTAAAATTGTCATAAAAGTGTTTTTTATTATTTCAAGTGTCATATAAGAATTTTAATTGATATAATTTCTTTCAGACTGATCAGTGTGTTCTAGAATTTTCAACCGACTTCAAGAAGAAGGAGGTTCCCGATTGAGTTTTATTTTTTTATATTTGTTACCTCATAACTCCATCAGCCCTAAACCGTTTTGGCTTTTTTGTCTGAAAGGATATAATTAGAGCTTAGTTCCATATAAATCATATCTAAATCAGTTTAATAGTTTAGTTTTAAATCAATAAATAGAATTGTGTGTAAAAAATGTGTCAACATTTAGTCAGTCAAATGTCAAATTGGCTTCCACATTTTTTTTTATTAAAACAACTGTTTTTTTGTGTTGCAAGATTGAAAAATCTCAGATTTTTTATTAATTTAAAATTAAGGTACAGTTTTTCATGTGTAACATATGTATATAACGTATGTATGTCCGGATATCTAATAGATAAATTGGTATATCGTATCCATCACCTATAGACATGAGCAGTACCATGGACATAACAGAGTATACTGTTTCGCCCATAATACCTCCCATGCGTTGCCATTCCTGCGGAATTAGGTATTATTTCTCTGTACCATGTAAATTAACTGCCATATCCTACTCTTCAAACTGAAACACAGCTATGCAAACACAACTGCTTTATGGTAGAAACACGAATGGAACAGAGGTGCAAACGATTTTTGTACAAAGTCTCCCTCTGGGATATATATAATAAAATATACGAGTACGAACATACACTTTCGCTGCGTGCTATTTTTCCTGTACGTACATGTATATATACTAAACGAAACTATATGCAATTAAAAGAAAAAAAAAGGGGGGGGGGGGGAAATCAATACATTAAATAAAATGTAATGAAATTTAATTTATGTTTATAAATAACTATTCAGTAATATTGTATTAATATTTAAATTATTATTTGTATTGCCGTTTAGTACCGAAATAGAACGTGCCACCTGTTCCTTTTCTGTCGGTGTAGCAAGAAGCGACTAAGAAAACTAATTAGTCGTGGATGGGCAGCAGCGTCTCTCTTAAAACATCAACAAAAGCCACACTGTGCTTGCCAACCCGCCTGCTAAGCGCTGCCAAAATCCCTCCAATGCTACAAGGAACCGATGTCGGTCTTTAACTTTGTCAGTTGGCTTCGCCCAATAGCCAAATCTCTGGCGAACCTTTTGGAACCCTGGTTCCGCTCTATTGCCTGTTCAATGCATATAGTATTTTTTTATTAATAGGTGATAATGGAATGGTAACCTCACCCGCGCTATCGGTTTACGCCGGCGGGTAACCAGTGAAGGATGATGATGAAGGTGAGGATGAAGTAGGTCAGTTAGCCCATCATGACGAATTCAACAAGAATTGTTCACGATGGTTTCCAGGGGAAACCACATGGAGGCCGACCTAATAGAACATATTACTAGCAATGGGGCTGTAAATTCCATTGCTAACAATCCGTTTCCCCCTTACAAGGGGGAAACGGATACATATAGTATTGAATTGGCATATGTCACGCTGTATACATTTGGAAATTTGCCTATTTAGCTGCCTATATTCAGACGTAGACGTTGAAGACTGGGACAATATTTCACGCCATTTCCTCATGAGATCTAAGAGTTTTTGTTAATTTGAGAGTTCGTATTAATATTAATGCGAAAATTTGTAAGGATAGATTGATATTTGATACTCTTTCACATAAAAACTACTGAATGGATTAGAATGATATTTGGTACATGGGCAGATTATATCCTGTGCTTATCCTTATGTAGGATACTTTATGTACTTATTTACGTAGACGAAACCGCGGGATATACTCAGATGTATATTTATAAATATTCTCCTCTACTTCACGTTATATGTTAGGCTATATATTTGTCAATTCTAAATTGATTTTGATAATTCATATTCATATGATTTACTTGAATGTAATGGGGCTACATTACAAAGTATTTGAGGTTGTCGTTTTTACTATGGAGCAAAATACTAATTAAATATTTTATTTTGTGTCTGATACAATAATAACTTAAAAAGTAGTAATTTTAAATTCTTATAAAATTTCACACAGAAATAAGTTGTTACAAATTAGTTGAATTTTTAACTGGGTGCCGTAGAAACGTGGGTATTATTTTTAGGTGTATATGTGTATGACATTATGACATTTTGGTATATAAGAAAAAAAAAAGAACTAGCCTTAGTTCTTTTTTTTTTATTAATACCAATATGGAACCTCAACAGTTTTGTTGGTTTCTGTAAATGAAATGTCATAAGAAGAATAAATGTTATATAAGAAAGGAAGTGTTAAAATTTTTTCGTTTTCTGTAGTTGAGTAAAATTTGTTTTGAACTTATTGGTCAGGTTTCTCGTAACTTTATATATATCCAACTGTTTAAGATACGTAAAGTATAAATAATACACATAAAAGTATGAATGACTATTATATTTCGATTTCATTTAAGGGTGATTTTTAATAATTGTAACACTTAGATGAAATATGATGAACAAGGCATCACCTTAAGACGTAAAAAGTAAAGAAACAGTAACATAAGACAGTATAAAAGTAAATAACTATTATACAATATAACAAACGAAGATGCAAAAAACAATGCAATACTTATATATTTTTATATGAAGCATATTTACAAAAGCTGAATATAATATATAACTTTATAATAAATTGAGTAAGAGAAAATAAAAATACGACTAGTATAAATTGAACACAAAAAGTCATTAAAGAATAGTTATATAAATAATATTAAAGCTTTTTAAACTTAATAAACTTACTATTTGTACTATTAGATGAAACAAATAAACTTAATAATAAACAGGTACATTTGAATAGTAAATCATATAAAAACAAAGAATACATATCACTAGATAAATAAAAAAGAGGTGGCGATGCATTGTAAGATCATAGCCGAGACAAGATTCACTCATACGTTTTTCAAGTTAAATATTTAAATTAACAACGTATAAATAATTTAAATAAATTATTAAATAATAAATTAATATCTCAATACTTTGAGGTCCGTACTAGATTAACCAAAGACAACTATACTATAATCCTGCATAGGGATGAGAACAGTCTTCTTTGTATTATCTTCAATTGGAGTAAGCGCTGTAGGCTAAATTTTGGGCGTCTTGCGATGACCTTCCCCAGCCTCCTCCGTGACCTCCGTGGCTGAAGTGTTCCTCGTGATGAGGGTGAGCTACAACTTCATAGCTCTCATGATGCTCGTGTTTGGACAACAGCTTCTTCAGAAGAACAAGAGCAGAAGCCAGTAGCGCGGCCTTTGCGAGCATCAGACCCTTGACAGCAGCGAAGGCGATGATACCCAAGAACAAGGGAATGAGGGACTGAATCTTCAGTTGGAGGAGAGCGAGGATTGGGAGCAACTGCTTCAACTTCTTTTTCTTGCCACGGCCTGTAATTAAATTTAATTAATTAAAAACAAATTCATGTATTAAATAATAGACACAATTTTGGTAAACACGACTAAAAATAAAAATTAGAAAAGTTTAAATAATAAAAAAACGTTCCGAAGAATAAAAACAACAGGCCAGAGAAAGTAGTCAATGCGTAAACAAGATTCGAATATCAAATGTTGAAAATCTAATTCGAATTCGAAATAGTGCACGCGAATGTTTAAAAATTTAAAACAATGTCGCTTTCATTGTAATTCATGATGTTACGTCCAGTTTGCATAACAGCCCCGTTCATCTAGAAAGTGCTTCGATTACCGGACATTACGATTCGAAAGCTCGGAACCCACTTCCATATTTCGTTAACGAGATTCTGCCTGGAGCGAGACTTTTACTCGATTCTTGATCAAGATTTCGATCACGGTGGCCGGTGCTAACGGAACTCTAAAACTAGTTACGTAGTTCTACATAGTTACAAGTTTACAAGTGTAAGATACTATGGGAATCTAGCAAAAACTAGACTTGACCGCCTCGTCCGCTTTCCACCATAATCAAGCTGGTTAATAGGTTAGAGAAACTCCTACCATACCCGTTTAACTGTTGCGATTTCTAGTGTCTTCTTCTTATGGTTTTATCTCACATATTGGTTCCGGATGTCCGTTAGGATGATTATAGGATATACAATATGTTAGGAGATTATCAATTAAAAGGCCTATGTATGTATTAATGCAAAGTTTGTTTTATGGCAACGTTTATAACTTTCCATTTAAATATTTTCACCATATGTACATGTTGAACCGGTTTGTTGCAACTTTTGCTAAATTGCTATACTACGATAGCTTTAATGTCTACCATACATGACACCTACGATTAAAGGTTCACGTGAAACTCACTTTTTGCTTTTAATAACAGAATCACGTATGTTGTCTTAATACTTTTATAGCTTTATAACACAGCGTTTTGGTTTAGTTTTTTTTTATTTGTCTTTAAAGTGTTCGAGTTGGTTTAATCGTTAATATCAATGACTTGCAATTTTGTTTTTTTTTTTAAATGCAAGTTTTTGTTAATGCAAGTACAAATAATAGTAACTTATGTACCCAATCATAATACCAATAAACATGATATTATAAAATTCGATACGGCGATCAGTGAAATGGCGTTCTCGACATCGAAACCAGTTATACAAATAAAACAAGAAAGAGTGTGTTTAATGTCCGTTGTGTAATAATGACGTGGATTGTCATAATGTACTGTAACTGTGTCTTATGATCAATAAAAATATTTACTTATGGAATATCTATTGAAGTTCCTTTTTGTCTGTTTTTTTAAGCAATATTATTTTTTACTATAACAATTGTCGATGTTACAATGCACAATACAATTATAAATTATTCAATATTTATATTAATTGATAAGATGTAATGTAGAAGATGCAAATTTAAACGCCTTTCCTATTTAATTCTTTTTTTTTTCACACAATCATTATTGGAACATGTTTTTCTTGTATCAGTACCATTTAAATGAATTTTGTCATAAACAGTTACTAGTTGTGTGTTTCTTAATTAATGAAAAAATTTATACTATCAAAATTAATATATTATTCTAAATAATTATTAAAAGGTACTTCAATAGCGACATTGCATATCTTACTCACACAATATTTAAAATTAAAAATAAAAAAAATATTGTTTTTAATTGTTCCATGATTAACATTGCAATGCGAAAGATGAATTCATTTAAAAATATTTTAAATAATTTAAAAGTATTAATAATAAATTTTGACAATATCTGATTTATCTGTCATTTAAAAAAAAGAGACTATTTTTGATATATCTGGATGATTAAAAAAGGCTTTTTTTAATAGTAATAAGAATATTTTACTCGAAATTTATAACAAAAATCACTTTTGAATTTATCTTTTCGAACTATATATAGTTGTTTAATTTTGTATGTATTTTATTACAAATAATGTAAAAGTTACCAGTATTGTGTTAATATCCAGCTTAATTATTTTTTTTTTTTATTTAATATACAATAGAGACTCAGAAACTATTTTAATATGAACGTAAATAAATATATTAAGAAGCTGAACTTAACTTTAGCTGCCTTAATTGAAAACGAATTCCAGTAAACTTTCCAACAAATATAATTGTCACTTATATTAGTATAATTTTCTAAAATAATAATCTCCCTTGCCTATATTTAAAGTAATGTAGGACAATTATATTTTTCTTAAACAACTCTCTCTTGTATTGTTTGTAGAGAAAATAAAATTGTCGTCACAGAAATATAACAGTTATAAATGTTTACAATTACTTTAATTTAGGCCTATTATATTTAATGGCGTAATTTTATACGAATATTTAGACCACATTTTTTTATAATTATATTAAGTTAAGAGATATGTATAGTTTGGTGCTTGGATGATTTGAAAATAAAACTGTAGACGACTAGGAAATAAATAGGAAATAAATAAATGTACTAACTTAGTTAAAATTTTGTAGGTTTTTTTTAAGATTTTCAGGTATATTTAAATTTATTTCCGGGACTTGAACGATATACGATTAGAAATAAACAGTTCCAACATACTGATTTTTAAATGCTGCCAACGATTTTACTATATCTATGTAGGTTATGCGTAAATAACTCGAAAGTTTAAAATTAACTACTGTACAGTTATTCACGTCTGCAATAAACCTAATTAGGTATATGTTAACTTGAATTTATTGTTTATTTCACTATGACAACAATTTATTTTACTCCTAATTTTTTTTTTATTAATGTTATAATATTATCGAATGGTGCTTTATTTATTAATATGTTGATAAAGATTGATTGATGATTTTAATATAATTAAATCTGAATAATATAATTACTCACTTTAAGATTTTTGCATTGCATAGTTAATAATAAATCCGTTCAATTAGTTAAATTAAACTAAAATTTTATTAATTAAATGAGATCAGTCATTTATCTGATAGGAACCGAGATGAGATGAAAACCCTGGCTAGACTATCTGAAATCTAATTTTATGCCTAAGTCCAAGGCTAAATATTTAGTGGTATAAAACTGAAGTATACTGACCTTCCTCAAGGGACCGCTTGACATCATCAACAGTGCTCTTTGGTACACGAAGTTGGATGACATGGTTCTCCAAGAAGTCAGCAACGCCATCCACCAGCCTGGACTCCACTTGGTTCTCTCTAGCTTTGGGCTCGTCGGACAGTGGCTCGAAAGACCTGGCAGACCTTGGAGATCCAGTTCCAAGTAAGCTGATTCCATCAGCAATATTCAATTCCCGCGCCGTGTTGATATTGTCCACGTATTTCAAAGCTCTTTCCTGTGACAAAAGGTATAAGTTTCAAATAAGGATATTTTTTTAAACAATTATAAATATATAAAATATTCGATAAATTAATAAAAAAGATATATTTTATATAAAATTCAAGTAAATTAATTATATTTGTATATTTTGTAATTGTCTTTATACTGAGTCTATTACGAGCTAGATAGACAATTTAAGGTAATGATCCGTATATAAACGAATGAACAAACAAATCTAATGAAATGTAAACATAATACATGTTGTAAATTGTATAAATGATACCTATTCGTAGTTCTTAAACAATTAAAGTTAAGATTTTTTTTTTATTCAGAACATTAATTTTATAATCTCTAATTTACGTTGACGTTAACATTTTACGTTAACTAATAAAAGTAACACGTCTCAACATAATATTAAGGTAGTTATCATAAGAAAAATGCTATCAAACATTAGAAGTGTTATTAAGAAGCGACTTCATAAAAGATGTTCACAGTACGACCGTAATGTACTGTGTAATTGTTCATTACGCGATACCATATGAATCGATTTTAATGATTCTTTTTTTATCGAAATAATAAATTACTCCTTGCATTGATTTTATTTTGATTTCGTTAAAAGTGAATTTATATATATTTTTTTTTGTATAGTGAATTTCACCGTAAATAGAGAATTGAGTTTAAAAAGTCCACAAAATGACACTTGAACACAGACACAGTTGAAAACACACCTTCAAACACAACGAGACATCTTCTTCACCACAGCTCCGTACGACACCGATGACTGAACCCACGACGTCATCCTCCCCCGTCGGCTTACCCCACACCACCGCGACACTCACTAGTATAATGAAGAAGGTCTTCATTTTGGTCCTTCGACTCTCCTTCGGTGGTGATAAGTGAAATGTAAGGCTGGAGTGGTAGGTAAGCGGTTTTATTCCGCGTCCCCCCACTGCTGACGGTGGGTTCCCGCCAAAATGTGCGTATGCGAACGTGAAGTATCCACGCGGAAAAATATAGAATGTTTTAGACACGGCACACGATAATACTTAGTATAGTAATAATGTCATTAAAGTTTATGTGTAGTAGATAGATTATTATTCTTTAATAAACCAGTATCAAAAAGAAGATGCTTAATTTAGTTGTATCTTTTTTTAAGTTTGTTACCTTATAATTCCATCATTTATAAATGGGTTTCGAAAAATGATTTTTTTTTATCTAAAAGAATATACTTACAGATTGGTCCCATAGAAATAACAAAATCGATTGAGTAGTTCAGTTTTTCGATTAAAATAACTAATTTTATTACAATTAAAGTATTTTTTTTTGTAAATGCAATCTTAAATTATTTTTTAAAGATTTTTAGTAAATTTAGCAAAAAAAAAAAAAAAGAATTACAAAAAATATTACACTGATCATGTTTGTCTTTTCTTTACCGTTTAATTATAAATACTATAGTATCTAATAAAATATATAGTATATAAAAATATATAAAATATTTTTTATTTATTAAATCTTGAAATGACAAAAATATTATTCAATTATGTAGATTTTTATTATTTTTTTTTATTTTTCCTTACGTGGAGAATAGAAAAATATATTATATTATTTACAAAATTTTAGTAAAAATTTAGGAAATAATTATTATTCTATTAGAACTTCTATACACTTTCTTCAGCCTGCGACAGTCTTCAAATAAATGTATGAATCATACATTATGTATGATACATTTGCATGCATTGTAAAGGATTCGCCGTTGTGGGTCATCGGGTGAATAGGATGCATTCTTCTGTTGTCTATTTTATGATGAACATAATTATATGCAACGGCCAAGTTATTTTTGTTTACGTTGATTTTTTGCGACTCGAAGTATATATGTAATTTATATTATATTAGTTGATTTGAATATCCCAAAACCTTGATATATAAAAAAAACACTATGTCTGTACACGTTAATTTTCTATTTATTTTTTCTGTAAAATTTTGTAAATATGCAAAATTGATAGTAACTTTAAATATAAGAATTATTTTGAACTGGATATGTTATTGTTAAAATTAAACACATGTGCGAAGCTGAAACAGATCACTAGTAGTACATATACTTAAGCAGATACATTCCTTTATACCTAATTTACTAATTCTATATTTTACTCCTATAATTATCTTATAAAACGGGAAAGAGAGTAAAATATTAATATCCTAGCTATTAAACATAAGTTGCGATCATATTTCTTAAAGAAGACTTAATTTCTTGCTGATTTTTAAACTTAATCTTGCTGGTAACCTGGCTGTTTGAGTCATAGATTATTTTATTTGCTCTTCTACATTTAACTGTATTAGTTAAATGTAATATTATTATTATTATTAAATGTAGTAATATTTTATGTATTCATTTATTATATGTATATATTTATTTATTTATTTATTTAGGATATTATGTGTATATTTATATGAGCCTAATTATATGTTTATAATATCAACTAATATATAAATATAAAGTAATATTTAATATTACTTTACATTTCCTCAATTCAATAATTCACCGTCTGCCATTTCCGTGCGTTACGTATCTTTTGCCGTGTCTAATTTGTTCTTATATCACCGGAAACTATAGTTCCCATGCTCTAGGAGACGTTTGATTGGTCAGTTAGTTCTCAATGATCCGACCCAATGGTCATTTTGAATGTAAATTAATATTTATGGGATGGTTTTCTAAAATTGCATAACTCACAAAAGTCAGGTGGCCGATTCATAACTTGTTGAATTTATAATTTTATTTCGTGATTGTAATTTTGATTTTTATTGTGTAATCAGCTTTTTAATATTCTGTTGTATGCTGATGTAATACTTTACCCCAGTAGGATCCGGAAAGTAATTTCTGACTTACAATTGTCGCAGTCAGAAGTAGATCGTTTGGACCGGAAAATAATATAATATACCTGACCAGCGTGAAAATAGTAATACAGTGTTAATTTTTTTTTTTTTTTTTATAATAAAGGGGATAGTAAATGAGTATGTGGCACACTTTATTATAAATTTAATTGTAAATTACTACCATCTCCCATGAGCATCTACAAAATCGAGGGTATTGCAGGTGTATTACTGATAGGAATATGCTCTTTTCTTGAAGATCAATATGTCGTATAAAGTGAGATTTATTTATTCTTTATTGCTCAGTAAAATTTGAGAATGTTCATGGAGAAAAAGTGTCGTGAAAAACACATGTTGACAATGACCCTGCTCATTCAGATAGGATAATCTTTTATTTTGTAGCTAGCTGTACTTTACCGTGTTTTTTTATACAACTTAGACGACCCACCTGATGGAAAGTGGCAACCGTCATCTATAGACATGAGCAGTACCATAGACATAACAGAGTGTACTGTTTCACCCATGATACCCCCCATGCGTTGCCATTCCTGAGCACTAAGCTGTTATTTCTCTGTACCTTGTAAATTTACTGCCATATCCCACCCTTCAAACTGAAACACAGCCATTCAAACACAACTGCTTCACGGTGTGGTCCTTGCATAGAATAGGTCCTTCCTTTCCCGTGGGTATCGTAAAAGGCGACTAAGAGAACTTAATAGACGAGAGATAGGCAGCAGCGTCTCTCTTTAAATATCACCAAAGGCTAACTGCGGTTGCCAGCATACCAACCAAGCGTGGCACTTACTGGCTTCAACCCCTTTATGAGGGAGGCCTAAGTTCAGTACAATTAATGTACAAAGTACAAGTAGTAAGTGGACAATTAATTAAGGATGATGATGTACTATATATAGTTTCATCGTGCTTCCGATCAAACTGTTTACCATATAATTACTCCTCTCCACCCAAAGGTTGCCTGGAAGAGATCGCTCTTAGCGATAAGGTCGCCCATTGTTTTCTCATTGTGATTATTTCTTGTAATTGTTTATATTTATAATAAGTTTACTATTGTAATCTTTTGGAGGAAACAATAAAGAGTATCTATCTACCTACTATGGTGAAATTCAGCGACAGTTATAATTCAAAATGTGATAAATACGTAAAAAGTTAATCTCTTTCTCTCTACATTTTTCTTGCGTAGAAAAATACGTGTCTGACAGCCGTATGGTAATAGCTAATTATGTTAATCTACCAATAAAATTATACTATAGTATGTTAATATTACGCTGTTAGTGCGAGATTTCTTTTAATTCCTCTTACGTTATACAGTTGGACATGGTGAATCGTATACAATATGTCAAATTACATAATTGCCAGATGGAACTCGTTGCTTTTTTTTATACAACTTAGAATGACAAACAAGCTGACGGCCCACCTGATGGAAAGTGGTAACCGTCGCCTATAGACATGAGCAGTACCATGGACATAACAGAGTATACTGTTTCGTCCATGATACCCTCCATGCGTTGTCATTCCTGAGGACTTAGGTGTTATTCCTAATATAACATATAATAAATTATAATTATTTTCTTGCTAATAAAAATTGAAAGGATGAGTTTCATATACGATTTCTTTTTATACAACTTAGAATGGCAAACAAGCTGACGGCCCACCTGATGGAAAGTAGTAACTGTCGCCTATAGAGGAATCGTTTAGGATAAAAATATTATAGTTATTTTTTTAATAGTAATTGATTTCATTAGTCATTTTTATCATCATCATATCAGCCATTAACTGTCCACTGCTGAACATAAGTATCCCCTATAAGTAGGGCTGCCATCCGTCCGGAATTCCCCGGATTTATCCTAGTTTGAAAGACGTCCGCGAGCCGTCCGGCACGGGTTTTGAAAAGTATCCGGGTTACACCCGGACACCTTTGTTGTTGCGGGAAATACAAGTTTTTTTTTTTTTTTAAGAAAGACGATCAATTGAAATAAATCTTAGCTACAAATTCACCCACAATAACCCTGTTTTATATAACAATGTTTTTATTTTTGTTACAAAAAATATTTTTTCAGAAGTGTCCCGGGGGAAAAACGATATTTCGCCCAAATGTCCGAGATTTTTGCCGTGTTTATCTAGTGTGAACAATTTAGGTGATGGCAGCCCTACCTATAAGGAGCGTTTTGCAAGTAGTTGCGTCGCTTAACAGGCGGCTTGGCAACCACAGCTGTGCTTTTGTTAATATCTTAACAACTGATATAATAATGATAATAAAGCTGTTTTCATCAATAGATAAAATGAAAGTGTAAACGTAGTTTAATACATCAAAATGTACAGACAGCGGGAATATATTTTTTATATCTGTTTTTCTTTCTTTTCTCAATGTCCTCTACCCAAAAGTTGTCTGGAAGAGTTGCTTAGCGATAAGGCTGCCTTTTATATCATTTCTCATTACAGTTAAATGTATTTACTATTCTATAAATGGCGAAATAAGGTGTAAATAAATAAATAAATATCTAGAGAAATATAAGAGTATTATACTTGAGTACTCGCTATCTTCCTAAGCAGACCACTTTTGTAGTATACTTTTTGGATCCAACGGTAAATTGTTAAAATTAATAATGCACTATTAAATATTAATATAGTCCCATTTGTTGGAACACCATAGCCAATTACTATAACACATAAAATTAACACACTAATTCAGTGATTACAATGGAAAGTAATGGATTTGGAGCGGCACAGAATTTCTATCGCCTCCACTCTCCCTCTTAATAATATAATTCATTTTGTTAATGTCTAATTAAAGTTTCGTTTTTTATTACTGCGTCATCCGATTTTTTTTTCTCTTTTTTATTAGCATAATTATATGTGGACGCGAGAGATATTGGACGCGTGATCTTGGAGCCTAATATGGTAATATTGAAAATTTTTATTAGATATACAATTAAAACCGGATAGCGATGTGTAGATAAGTACTCTTTACTGTTCCATCCAAAAATACTGTAGAATACGTATCAGATACTTG